TTGTAACAAAATGATACAATCATTCTAAAAGGTAGTTTTCTTTATCCTCACAAAGCTGAACATAGAAGTTTCATATGACCCATCTATTCCACTGCTTAGAATATACTCGAAGAAAATAAGAACTGAGGTACTGAGACTTGTAAGAACATGGAAACAACCCAAATGTCCAAAAACAATGAAATGGATTGAGAAGCTATTATATATCCACAGAATGGAATACTATGCATCACATGGGAGAAATGATTTTGTAAATCACTACCTAACTTGTGAGGGACAGGAAAGCATTACACTGAGTGAATTAACTCAGACCCTTAAGGACATAAACTTTATAAAACCATTATTGTAGAATTAATATAAGGATCCAAGGAGGGGGAGGGTGGGGACAGAGGGGTGAGGATGGATGGGGGCTGGATGTGTGGAGTGAGATAGGGTAAAGGGAATGGGAAAGATCTGGTGTGAAAAACATTGTATATGAACTTTGTAAACCAAACAGTACTTTTAAAAAAGCAATAGAAATCTTTCTCATTCAATGTATTAAATGTGAGACTGGGGAGGTGGGGGGGATTAGAATACGGTAGTGGATGCTGGAGTTTAGGAAAGATTAAGTTCCAATCAGTATTCTGAGGAGATTTACCTTTGAATAGATTTGTAGACCTACCTTGGACTTTGAGTGAAGAGATTCACATTTGAAAGAAAGACAAGCAGGAAGAGAGAGACGGAAATGAAACAACAACAACAACAACAAACCCAACAAACAACAAACAACCCACAAAAGAGATTGATTTATGAGAATTAGAATAAGCTGTTTGGTTTTCGAGGCAGGGTGAAGTTGGTGCTCATCAGAACCCACTTCCAAGATTTGAAGTTAAAGGTGCCGCGAATAAGTTCACTCATAGCTATCACATGGATCCACTGGAGTGAGAGTAGGAGGTATACAACAATGAAGAGAGGTTGGGCTTGGAGTGTTCCTTCAGCACTGCACACCCAGCATGCACAAATGTGTGGATCAGGCAATTGTGTTGCTGCCTTGATGAGCATGGGGTTGTGAGGACCTCTGGTTTATTGATACAGGGAAGGCTTTGGAATGCAGGAAGAAGTGTAGACTCCTAAGTTTGCAGCTGATGCCTATTTGGACCTAACCACGGAAGGCTAGGGATGAGTTTACCAGAACCCATCAGATACAGAGACGATCCATTATGTGAAGTAGTGTTGATTGCTATAAGCTGATGACTTGCCCTGGACAGAACTTTGCTTGTGGACATCGATACTAAAAGTTTCCAAACAGAATAGAAAATTCTTCAGCAAAAGGAACAGGCTTATTCCCTTAGAGTATTGATTTGATAAGGATGGGCAAATCAGATATTGGCTAGCTATCTAAAATGGGGATCTTAAGGTGTAAGGCTTACACACTTTCATGAATGTAGTTTTTAGTATGATTATAAGAGCAAGAGAAACAAAACATACATAAATTAAATATAATGTAAAAGAAAGATTGAATAAAACACAATGCACATACATGAAACATATTGTGTGTGTTGTTGTTGTGGTTACGTGCCGTCGAGTAGCTTATGACTCATAGTAACCCTATGTACAATAGCCCTAAATTTTGCTCTGTCCTATGCCAATCACACTGTCTCTGAAACACCTGTCCTGATTACTCCAGTCACTGAATCAATCCACCTCAT